TATCTGCCCACAGCAGTTCACGGTTAACCTCAGCAGCCTAGAGTTGCAGACATTCACACAGAACAGAGCCTGCAAAGCACCAAGCAAAGGCCAAGGACTGGTTTCATCCACCTGAAGCTACGAGGCCTAAGCCTTGTCCATTCCTCTCAGGACTTCTGCCCCAGGCTGTGCTCAGACTGTGCCCTCCCACTCCTGGGTGCTGCCACGCCTCCTCTGCCGTCTCCCTTTCAGCCTCTTCCCCGTCCCACCATTTCTGCAAGATGACACTCATGTGGTTCACGCAGCAACTATTACTGAGCCTCCCTCTGTGTCAGGCCCAGTCCTAGGTGCTGGGGACATGATGCGACCACAGCAGGTGGGTTCCCTCCCCCACGAGGCTAACACTCTATGGTGCAGTTCAACATTAAACACAGGATCCTACCAGTGGCTGCGCAATTGCAAACTGAGGTCAGACTTCTGCAGAAAAAGAATAGGGGTAGACTGGCAGCCGTGCGTGGTGGCGTGCACCTACAGTCCCAGCTACTCAGGAGGCTGCGGCAGGAGGATCGCTTGAGTCCAGAAGTTTGAGGCCAGCCTGGGCAACACGATAAGACTCCTTCTTAAAAAAAATAAAATAAAATAAAAACAAGAATTAGACTGTGGCCCCCTGAGGCCAAGACGAGTGTGGAGTGGCCAGGTAAAGGTGTGGGGCCGGGGAGAGGTCGTGTCAGGTGGGGAACTGCTTGGGCGAGGAGGCCAGAGTGGAAAGAGTGTGGTGTGGTGAAGGACAAGCCACAAAGAGGAGGGGCATGATGGTGCAGGCAAGGACCTGCTCTCAGCCGGTTACTCCTCTGCTCCCAGACCTGTGGCTCCCTTTGGCTATATGCTCCACAGCCCTTAGCTGCCTTTGGGGTCTATACCAGAAGGAGGAACCTGAAGGTCATTTTTGTCCTTTCTCTCTTCCTCACCCCCAGGTCCACTCAACAAACATTTTATACTATGTACTATGTCCGTGGTGGCTGGGGACCATGTTACGCTCTGACAATATACACATCAGGGAAGAAAATGGACATGGCACTCTTGGGGTTACAGTCTCTCTGCGTCCTAAATGGCTCCTTCCAGCTTTACAACCATCACCTATCCAGCCCACGCCATCCATCCTTGACCCTGATTTCCGCAGTGGCTTCCTCACCATCTCCCAGACTCCACCCGTGTTCCTGCATGGTCTCATCTCTACACAGCAGCAAGAGGCAAATGTTAAAGACAAAATCTGGATTTTGCAAGTCGGCATTGTCCGGCCTGCTGTTCTGGTCCTGGCCCCGTGTCCGTAGCTCTCACAGTCTGTAATTATTAATCTGCTTACTGGTTTAGGTAAGAACAGAAGCTCAGAAAATTATGGCAGATTGAACGTACACATCTAATTTCACTCCCTCCCAAACCCTCACTAAAACTACAGGAAAGAGATTTTGTTTAAGGCATAAACCCACCGACATGAGGAGAAAGCAGGAGATGACAGGAGTGTGGCACTTGGAAGCCGGGAAGGAGACGGGCGGGTGGTAACCACACAGGAAACTCAAGAAAACTGTACCCTAAGCTGGATGTGGCAAAAGAGGAGAACTGACCCGGTGTAGACCACAGACTCCCCCAAAGGCTCAGGCACCTCTTTAAATGCGGTGAGGGGGCATAAATAAGGAGGAGTTGAAGCTGTTTAAGGATCAACATTGTTAGGTCTCCGTGGCTTCCCCACTCCCAGGAGAAAACTAGAGGTTTGTTCTCGGAGCGGGGAAGCAGGATCGCTGGTGTGGAGACCACAGGCACAGCGGAGGGCAGGGCGTCCTCCCACGTCAGGCGATGAAGTGACCAGACATGCTGTGAACACAGACACACCCCCAACCCTGTTTCCCAGCTGGGCCCCCACAAAGCTGGCCACCATGGCTTTGCTCCCCAGACAGGAGATCAGGAAGTTTTCTCGAAGGAAATCTGACCAGGCCAAGAGGAAGGACCTTCTGTTAACATCTTCAGAGAGATAAGAGAAGATATTGCATCTATGATGCAAAAAGAGGATGTTATTTTAAAAAGAAATAGTCAAACATCAACAAAAAGCCCTTGGAATGTAAAAATTCAACAGTAGGGCTGGAAGATAAATTTGAGGAAATCTTTCAGAAAATAGAAGCAAGAGACACAGAAATGGAAAAGAGGAAGGAAAAAGACAATTAGGGCCCTGGACCAGGAGACCCAACATTTAAATAGAAATTACACAAAAAGAAAATATAGAAAACAGAGGGGAGGAGTTATTGATTCAAAATTGAAGAAAATTCTCAGAATTGAAGGACATGCATTTCCATATTGAAAGGTGTCTCCACATGCTGATAGATGAGCACGGGCACACACATTCATAACAAGGCCACCATCATGAAATGTCAGAACCCTGGGGACAAAGAGAACATCCTACAATTTCCAAGGTAGAAAAGAGATTCCATACTAAGCACTAGGAAACAGAATGCCTTTGGACTTCTCCATAATAACACTAAAGGAAAATAATCTCCAACCAGATTTTTTTTTTTTTTGAAACAGGGTCTCTCCCTCTGTTCCCAGCACTAGAGTGCAGTGGCATCATTATAGCTCACTGTGACCTCCAACTTCTGGGCTCAAGTGATCCTCCTGCCTCAGACTTCTGAGTAGCTGGGACTATAGGCGTGCACCACCACATCCAGCTAATTTATTTTTATTATTTTATTTTATTTTTGAGACAGAGTCTTGCTTTGTTGCCCAGGCTAGAGTGAGTGCCGTGGCGTCAGCCTAGCTCACAGCAACCTCAAACTCCTGGGCTCAAGCAATCCTTCTGCCTCAGCCTCCCAAATAGCTGGGACTACAGGCATGCGCCACCATGCCCAGCTAATTTTTTCTATATATATTAGTTGGCCAATTAATTTCTTTCTATTTATAGTAGAGACGGGGTCTCACTCTTGCTCAGGCTAGTTTGGAACTCCTGACCTCGAGCAATCCACCTGCCTTGGCCTCCCAGAGTGCTAGGATTACAGGCGTGAGCCACCACGCCTGGCCAATTTTTTTGTATTTTGAAGAGACAGGGTCTTGCTCTGTTGCTCAGGCTGGTCTCTTGGCTTCAAGTGATCCTCCCACCTCAGCCTCCCCAAGTCCTAGAATTACAAGGGTAAGTCACCACATGCAGCCTCCAACCAGAATTTTTTATAGTAATAATTGCTAAACTTCTATAGCACTTACTTTGTGCCAGGTTTTAAGGATTTTTCATAGATTCTGTACCCAGCAAAATTATTAAGGGTGACGGTGACATGAAGAAGTTTGCAGATATGCAAGTTCTCAAAAATGTCACCTCAAACACCCTCTTTCCAAGAAACCACTGGAGTAGGTGCTCCACCAAAAGAATGGAGCAAAGGAAGAAAGAAGCAATCCCACGGAAAGCCAATGTGGACAAGATGAGGGGACTCCCTGGGATAGCAGTGAAGGAGACACCAGCATCACGGCAGAATTGCCCTGAAACTTAAGCCTCAGCTTCAGGGTCCTGTGCCTCTACGAACCCCTGCGATTGCTGGAGCTATAGAGGGTTGTATGTCAGCAGAAGCCAGGCTGCCTTTGGGAACAGTTCTGCTAGATTGCTGAAAGAGAGCTCAGAAAGGGTCCGGGTCCCCACGAATCTGTAGCTCCAATAATTTACTAATTTTTTTTTTTTTTTTTAACAGAGTGTCACTCTGTTGCCTGGGTTAGAGTGCCGTGGCATCAGCCTAGCTCACAGCAACCTCAAACTCCTGGACTCAAGCAATTTTCCTGCCTCAGCCTCCTGAGTAGTTGGGACTACAGGCATGCCCTGCTGTCCCAACTAATTTTTCTACATATTTTTAGTTTGTCCAGCTCATTTCTTTCTATTTTTTTTAGTATAGACGGGGTCTCGCTCTTGCTCAGGCTGGTCTCAAACTCCTGAGCTCAAACAATCCACCTGCCCGCCTCTGCCTCCCACAGTGCTAGGATCACAGGCATGAGCCACTGTGCCTGGCCTACTGATTTCATTTTAACAAGCTAAGTAAATTATACTTCATTTTGTATATTTTTTAAAGACTCTCACATTGTATAAGACTTAGACTCTACAAAAATCTGGATCTTTCCTCCCCAGAATAACTTGTTCACCGGGTATAAAGGGCAAACACTGCAGACTAGAGCAGAACCGAGGACTCCAAGAAAAGTTTAAGATGAAATTGATAGTGTATGTGATGTGGTGTGACCACCACATGGTGTGACTACCAGCTCCTCTTTCAAGGAAGGGCTTGCTGCCCACCTGTGGGGAGTCTGGACAGCAGACAGCCTCCAGCTGTCAGCTCCTCCAGAGCTGGCCTCAGATGCAGACAGTGGCCTCGCCCAAGATCACATCTTTCCCTGTGGCAGCCCACACCGGGTGACAGAGCCAGGCAGGAGCATGAAGGCCTTGCCAGGCGTGGCAAACTCTCACAGGCCATACTCGCTCCAGAGCTCCCTGCCACAGGTTGGTCCAGGCTTTCTCAGGCCTGCACTGCAGTTGGACTTCTGCCCAATCCTACTTCTGCCCATATCCTTTCCCAGGTGTTGATCCCTAACAAACATTTTCCTCTCCATGTACACTCCAGAGAGACCAACCTGAGATATCTGATTTGGCTGAACATCTTTTTTTTTTTTTTTTCGTTTTTTTTTTTTTTTTTTTTTTTTTTTTTTTTTTTTTTTTGAGACAGAGTCTCACTTTGTTGTCCAGGCTAGAGTGAGTGCCGTGGCGTCAGCCTAGCTCACAGCAACCTCAAACTCCTGGGCTCGAGCGATCCTTCTGCCTCAGCCTCCCGAGTAGCTGGGACTACAGGCATGAGCCACCATGCCCGGCTAATTTTTTTATATGTATATCAGTTGGCCAATTAATTTCTTTCTATTTATAGTAGAGACAGGGTCTCGCTCTTGCTCAGGCTGGTTTTGAACTCCTGACCTTGAGCAATCCGCCCGCCTCGGCCTCCCAAGAGCTAGGATTACAGGCGTGAGCCACCGCGCCCGGCCTGATTTGGCTGAACATCTTAAAAAGAGATTTAGATTGGTGGGGAATAGAATACATAAAAACTAAGCAAGTGACAAAACAGGACAATTATGAAGTCCAGGGAAAACAAAAAGTTGCAGAGGAAAGGAATCATTATTCCATAACATGGAATAATGTTAATAACGAACATAGAACTAACCAAAATTATGTTGGCAGTTGGGGCGGTGGGGATTATGTGTACAGTTGGTGATAGGGAGAGTTAAAACCATCTTCCATAGTAGATAATCAAGAGAGAGTGCCTAAAACTGAAACATCAAGAAGTAGCAAAATAAGCACATCTATTTAAAGATAAGGAGATAAATATAAAATACAGTCAGCTGGAAGAGTTGCAAAGGGGTGCCTCAGGGAAAGTGTAAACGGGGAACTGCCTTTTGTTTTCATAGAAAACTTACTAATACTTGTCATCTGCTTAAATTTTGTGCATGTCTAACTTTGGTGAAAAAAGAAAAAGATTATGAGCTTGCTTCCCCACGGCAGGGACAATAATTTGGTTACTATAAAATCCCTAGCACTCATGTAGTAGGTGTTCAAACAGTTATTTGTTCAAGTAGTTGAATAAAAGTCATCCCCCTACTTGAAACCCTAAGTGGATTCCATTCCCATAGCACATCCTAAAATCACAGCCCAGTGCCTCTGGGGCATGCAGGCTCTGGCCTCTGCAAACTCCCCTCCTCTAGTTTCTTCCTTGTGTGCCCTTCAGATGCTCACATGCAGAAAAGTCCCTTGACACCTCAGAAATTTTGCACATGCTGTTTCTCTTACCTAGAAAGCTTTTCACCATTATCACTTAGTTCTCCCCCACAAATCAGTAAGATTTCAGCTCTAAAGTCACTTCTTCCAGGCAGTCCCGTTTGCTGGTTTTCTTCTCTCTCACCCCTTCAATTCCCCAGACTGACGGATCCATAGTGGGCTACCCCAAGGTCTCAAAGGGCCTTGTTAACACATTTGCTCTTTATCTGGAAGAGAATGGGGGACACCAGTGTTGCCAGCAGGAAAGATTAAGATGAGATATGCTGGTAGGTCTGGGGCTCAGAATTATGAAAAGTAGCAAGCTTCCTTACTTGGGACATAGACATCCCTTGCTCAATAAACAGTGGTTTCATCCTTCCTCCCCAGGGCACTTCCAGTAATTCCCCATGATAGAGTTTTCCAGAATGGGGCCTGACTACCACTGGGGGCTCTAGGAATGATTTTTAGTGGTATCTGATCCAATGCTTTTTAATAGTTACATATTTATCACTATTGGTATACAAAAAATAAAACTTGCATATTGTTATTTTTTGGGGGGACAGAGTCTCACTTTGTTGCCCAGGCTAGAGTGCCATTGAGTCAGCATAGCTCACAGCAACCTCAAATTCCTGGGCTCAAGTGATCCTTCTGCCTCAGCCTCCTGGGTAGCTGGGACTACAGGCATGTGCCACCATGCCCAGCTAATTTTTTCTATATATTTCTAGATGGCTAATTAATTTCTTCCTATTTTTAGTAGAGACGGGGATCTCACTCTTGCTCAGGTTGGTTTCGAACTCCTGACCTTGAGTGATCCTCCCACCTCCGCCTCCCAGAGTGCTAGGATTACAGGAGTGAGCCACCTTGCCCAGCCAAAACTTGCATATTAAACCCATGATTTTGTGGCTATTATTGCTTAGGATAAACTTTATGAGGTTGATACTCTACTAAAATCTGGGAACTCCCTTTCAAGCCAAACTCACCAAATACCCAGACAGTCCCACCACATCTTTATATATGCAACCCTCCTGCCTGGAATACCCTTCCCATTCCCTCTAAACATCCTTCAAAGTCAGAGTTGAGTCCTCCCTCAGGGGAGTGGCCTAGTGTAGTGGTTAAAAGCCAAGGATTAGAAATTCAATCCTTAGCTAGCTGTGGGCAAGTTATTGAACCTCTCTGAATCTCAATTTCCTCATCTGTTAGTTAGATGGGAAGAAAAGGCCTACCCCTAGGATTACTGTGAAAATTCAATGTGACCACACCTATAAAAGCACTCAGTAAGTGCCTAGCATAGTCAGGCCTCCTTAAATGTTACCTGTTATTTTCATGAACCATAAATGTCATTTTAATTACTCATCTTTTTATGCCTCCTTCAGGTGACACTGCCTCACACACAGCATACGCTTAGGAAGGGCTGCTTGGTTGTTAGAGGCCTTGCTGCTTTAGGAGGGAACATCCTTATCCACTCCAGGTTATTCAGCGAGAAGGATGGAGGCAGATGCCGGGTGTGTCCACACCCCGTCCCACGACGGCTGGAGGAAGGCCTAGTTCGCTCAACCGTCACCATGGCAACCTCAACCCCATTCCAAGAACCCAGTTCGGGAGGGGGCAGAGTCTCGACAGCCGATTGCCCAGAGGACTACCCCTGCCTCTGTCGCCAGGTCCCCTCCAGACGCGGAGTCTCTGGGCGCCAAGCAGGCGCTGCTCTCTCTGCCCACAAGGTGGCGGGGCAGAGCCGCGCTCCGCGCCCCACCTAGGAGGCGACCGGGAGGCAGCGCCCTGCGGGTTGGGCCTCCTGGGCCCTGCTCCGCAGTCCCTGCCAGGGCAGGTCACAGCATCCAGGCCGAGAGGAACGCTGGGCCTGAAACTGGATGTTCCCCAAAACACACTCCATACTTCCCGTGGGGCCTGTATTCCCGACCCAAGGGCGGACATAGACCCTGCTCAAGTCACTCGCCCTCCACCCCCGACAACCTCTCGTGGGGCCCCCGCCCTGCAGTGAGTCCCGCGCCGCTCACCTGGCGGGCACCTGGCCAGCACACAACCCTGACCAACCCCACTCGAGCCCGCCGAGCCGAGGCCGAAAGTCTCGCCCCACTCCCAAATGCGCCGGCCTTGGGGGAAGGAGGTCGGGGTGGGCTCGGGCTGAGGCCCTAACTCCCCAACTCCGGGTGCCCTCCACCTCGGGGGAAATAAAGAAGCATCTCCTTCGCCTTCCAGGCCCGCATCTTCCCCCAGCTTCCCTGAACCGTATCACTTTCACCCGAACCCTCCCGTGGCTGGGCCCGGGGATTCATAGCTGCGGGTAATGGGCCTAGGGATCGTCCAGCACGCCCGGAGAAGCGGACAGAGCACGCGCGCGCACGTGCCGGGGCGGGGCCTCGCTGGGGCGGGGCCTGAGGCAGGGGCGGGGCCCCCGGGCTGGGGGTCCAGCGGGCCAGGAGCCGCGCTAGGCTGCGCGTGGGGTGACGGGAGCGGGAGCGGGAGCTTTGCGGAAATGGGGGCAGCCGGACGCGGAGGGTTCGAGGGGGCGCAAGGCCGGCTAGATCTGGGTGCTGGATGGGCTGGCCCCGGGATTGGGACCGGATTTGGGGCCCAAATACTGTATACGATCGGCTCTAGCCGGGAGGGCAAGAGGAGACAGGAACTCCGCCCATTTTCCGGGCCGGCTTCTTGGAACCAGCCAGGAAATCCTGGGACTCGATCTGGGGGCTAGATCAGGAGGCGACGGTTTTTAAAGAGACGGGCCGATAGGGGCCCTCACTGTGTAGTCGCAGCCATTTCCCCCACATTCCAGGAACTGCCCAGGCTTGTCCTCCCAGTGTCTGGGGACTCTGCGGCTGCTTCCCTCCACACTGCAGGCTGGGCCCACTTGCAGAACCCGGCAAGGCAGTGCGGTCCCTCGGATCCCCTCCTCCATCTTCAGTTTCAACAAGATTGGGGCTTGGGGTAGGTCTGGGACCACAAGCCACATCTAGAAAGATCTCCCTGTGGCAGAGCCTTTTTCCCCCTGACCGATTCGTAGCTCCAGCAAACCTTACTCTACATGGCGGAGGTAGTAGAGTGGTCCCTCGTGGAAGGTTGGAGGGCAACCTCAGCTGGCTCCTTTCTCACAGTCTTGCAAGATGACCAGGGTGGTGGCCAGGAGGTCACTTTGAGGGCTGAAGACTGAGTAAAGCTGTTAGCCCCTCCCTTCCGACCAAGTAGCTGGGGAGAGCTCAAACTGCAAAGAGATGGAAGGACTGAAGTGCAGTCTTTGGAGTCCTTTTCGTTCTGCCATTCTCTCTGTTCTGCTGCCTAACCTGGAAACTCCTAGAAACCCTCCCTTCCAGGTTTTCCCTCACAAAAACCAAATTTTAAAAATGTAAAAATAATTCCTGCACCTTATTTTTTAAAAAACGACTTTTTTATTTGAGACAGGGGCTTGTTATGTTGCCTGGGCTAGAGTGTAGTGGCATTATTATAGCTCACTGCAGCCTCGAACTTCTGGGCTCAAGCCATCCTACCACCTCAGTCTCCTGAGTAACTAGAACTACAGGCTTGTGCCACCACACCCTCTAACTTTTAAATTTTGTGTAGAGATGGCGGTCTCACTATATTGCCTAGGCTAGTCTCAAACCCCTGGCCTCAAGTGATTCTCCCACCTCAGCTTCCCAAAATAGTGAGATGATAGGTGTAAGCCACTGGGCTTGGCCCAGATCCTTTTGATTACAAGAAACTTGGTTTAAATAAATGTCTTAACTAGCATGACTCTTGTTTCCCTCTTTGCTTTGGTTGCTTAGAAGCTCAGTTTTTGTTTGTTTGTTTTGTTTTTCTTTTTTAGACAGAATCTTGCTGTCACTTGAGTAGAGTCCAGTGGCATGATCATAGCTCACTGCAACTTCAAACTCCTGGGCTGTCCTCTTACCTCAGCCGAGGCTGAGTAGCCGAGGCTACAAGTGTGCACCACCACACCCAGCTGATCTTTTCTATTTTTATTAGAGATGGGGGTCTCGCTCTTGCTCATGCTGGTCTCGAATTCCTGACCTCAAGCAATCCTCCCACATCAGCCTCCTGGATTGCTAGGATTACAAGTGTGAGCAACTGCTCCCAGATAGAAGCTCAGATCCTTTATGTTTCTTGATTTGTATTTTCTCTTTGTCCCAATTTTCTTAATTATTTACTTTTTAAAAATCTTTTTTTAGAGTCAGGGTCTTGCTATGTTGTCTGGGATAGTCTTGAACTCCTGGGCTCAAGCTGTCCTTTTGCTTAGCCTCCCAAGTAGCTGGGACACAGGCTTGTGCCATTGGGCCCCCAGCTAATTATTTACTTTTAGCCCTAAAACCTTTTTATTATGGAAAATTTCAAACATGCATAAAAGTAGAGAGAATATAATAAATTCTCATGTACCTGTCACCCACCTTGAATAATAACATTTTACCAATCTTGTTTCATCTACCTCCCCACTTCTTCCTCTAAAGTATGCTAAAGTAAATCTCAGACATCATATCATTTCAACTGAATTATTTCAGTATCTATTTCTAACAGTTTTTGTTGTTGTTCTTGTTGTTGTTGTTTGAGACAGAGTCTCGCTCTGTTGCCTGGGCTAGAGTGCCATGGCATCAGCCTAGCTCACAGCAACCTCAAACTCCTGGGCTCAAGTGATCCTCCTGAGTAGCTGGGACTATGGGCGTGTGCCACCATTCCCAGTTGATTTTTTTGTTTTCTATTTTTAGTTGCCTGGCTAATTTATTTCTATTTTTAGTAGAGATGGTCTCACTCTTACTGAGGCTGGTCTCGAACTCCTGACCTTAAACCATCCTCCCACCTCGGCCTCTGAATGCTAGGATTACAGGCATGAGCCACCATGCCTGGCTGTTACGGTGATCTGTGATCAGTGATCTTTGATGTTACTATTGTAATTGTTTTGGGACCCCATGAACTGTGCCCATATAAGATAGCAAACTTAATAAATGTGTGCGTTCTGACTGGTCCACTGACTCGTCTCCTCAGGCGTCCCTATTCCTTGAGATAGAACAATATTGAAATTAGGCCAAGGCCTGATACAGTGGTGCAGAACTCCTCACCCATGTCACTTACTTGTGTGACCTGCTTGATCCTGTGGGTGTTGGAATTTGGACTTCTAATCTGGCCATTTCACAAATGGAAGAATTTAAGCCCCAGAGAGGAAGAAGTTTGCCAGTCCCAGCTACTTAGGAGGCTGAAGAAGGAGATCACTTGAGCCCAGGAG